TGTATGCAATATTGTTAAACGAAATAAGACATGAAGACATCAATTGAAAATGTTTTTAATCATTTCTAAAATGAAACTGTTGTGGGGTTATGCAAAATCGCGATGGCTTGTAAATGGCTTATGGCAGAAGGAAAGCAAATTAGAATTATGCAAATACGCTTTAAATGGCAGTTGATTTTTCAGCTGTAAAATTGAGCCTCCTTGTCAGAGCTCTCATTGTTACAAGTTGATGATATCTGTAACCATGCAAGACCATGCTTTTCTCATTAAGTGTTGTTATGAATGCGGTAGCAATGAACATGCTTTGCAAAATTATCGTACTGTAAGATAAATACGCAGAAGGCCAATGACATAGCACGGTTTGAGGAAAACGATGGCAAAGTTTGAAGCCACAGGTTTTTTATCTGTTGCACCTGGGCGGGGAAGGGAGGCTGTTGCATTAGCAGTAGAGTAAGCAACAATGGGAAGCACATATGGTACTATCCATACAAAATCAAACTTGAATCTAACGATCCTGCTGTAAGAATATCTTTCGCTTTGAAATTCCTTACACAGATGGAGATGGATGAACATTGGCCATGGAATGTTTTGTGGACGGATGAGGCCCATTTTTACATAAATGGGGATGTCAACACCCACAACTGCAGGCTTTGGGCCAAACAAGTCCCTCATGTTATCCAGTTCCATTGCATTCTCCTAAAGTCACCATTTGGTGTGGTATGACAGCTAGTGTCATAATTGGACTACAGTAGAGCGTCGTTTATCCGAATCAATTGGGGACTGAGGTTGTTCGGATAACCGATTATGTACGAAAAATTATATTAACGTATCCCTGTTGAAATTTTTCGTCAATGCTAAGCCTAATGTAAACTTTTAAATAATAATTGTGGCTATTGTATCGTTAAAAATTATTTCTTTATTTTTATCAAACAAAATAAATATTGAAAAATATAAAAACAAAAAAAAAATTTAGAAGTTAATCTAGTATCAAAAACGTTCGATTCAGAATGACACACAGACCTCAGAAAAACACCAAACAAAAATGCCAGTACTGCCAGCTAAAACACACACATCAACAAAAAAAATATTGGAGTAGCCCAAGATACAGCCAAAGATTGCAGTGCCACAGCACTAGCAAAAATTTAAATTTGCCAACTGGAATTCTTTCGGATAACTGACTTTCGGATAAATGACGCTCTACTGTATTTTTCTTTGAAGAGGAATCTACAGCTGGGCCCATGACATGCACAACTGCTGCTCACTTAGAGTCAATGTTAAGACATTTTGTGATACCTGAACTTCAGCAATATGGCATTTTAGACACCATGATTTTTATGCAGGACGGGGCTCCACCTCCACCTCATAGTGGTACATTAAGTAACAAACATGATCGGATTATAAGCCAACACTTTCCCATTTCTTGGCCACTCCAGTCACCAGACCTCAACCCCTGCGACTTCTGGCTGTAGAGTTACCTCAAATCCACTGTTTATGATGATAACATAAACAATTTGGCAGAATTGAAAAAATGTGATACACCGACATGTCCATAACATTTCTCTTGATATGATAAGAGCTGCTGTTGAGAACACAATAACGCGATTTAACTTGCTTTCAGAAAATGGTGGACGCCACATTGAACATGCTTTGTAACACATTTTAGAAACGATTAAAACATTTTCAACCGATGTCTTCATTTAACAATATTGCATACAGTGCCATTCCCTTCCCCACTGGTGGTGAGTTTTCAAACTATTTTTTTGTGGCAATAGTTTACAGGAAGTCGTGGGGATTTTATTACAAAGTTTGATAACATTTTGTTTCATAGTTTTCCTTTTATGGCCATTTCAAAGTAGAACTTTAATTATAAAGACCCTGTATATTAAAAATTTGACTATGTTTAAAAAGTCAGTTAAAATAAAAATAGGAAATGTATTGATATTACTTCTTACTTGGATCCTGTGTGTAATGTAATCTCTTACCTAGATCTTAATATTCTCTTCTAAATTCAAATTTTTATTTAGGTGGTTCAAATAAAAGTGATATCAAATAGTAGTGCCATCCACAGATAGAAATAAAATGTCTTGAGCATTCTATCAGTTTTGTGAATTTAATAATAAAGGCTAAAAGCTTTACATAATTTAACATTAACTAGAAGCTGTTTAGTTTAGTATTTGATAGTGGTACAGGTAACTGGAGCATTTAGCATGTCTGTGAAGGTGGTGATTCTGTAACAGATTTGTCTGATGATAAAGTCATGGCCTAAAAATGTTTATTAAGTAGATTTAGATAGCCTAATAAATAGGATTTAACAATTTGGAGGGCTTATCGCACCTTAGCTGACAGAAAAAAAGAGTCTAGATCTGTTACAAAAAAGTTAGTCTTTAATAATCACCTTCAAATTTAGGTAAGGATGCATTTTGGGTACAAGGACCCCTCATCAGCTTACAAACACTGGTGGAAATTGAAAGTGTTACACCCAAATGGAATTGATAGAAATTCACGAAACTTGGTAAACATGTATAGGGGCATACCCATAAGAAATGAATTATGCAAAGTTTTATTGCTGTTTGGTACGTGTTTCTGTAAGAGGAATGCCCACCTTGAGCATGGATAAACTCTTGGTCTTTGCAGGCATTGAATCAATAAGTGCTTGAATGTCTTGTTGGGGTATATCTCTTCATACCTGCACAACTTGTGCAATCAGTTGTTGTACAGTGCGTGCTGGATGGCTATGAGATGTAATCCGTCTACCCATGGCATCCCTGACATGCTCTATAGGGAATAAATCTGGAGACTGGTCAGGCCAATCCATAATTGTGACACTTTGCAAGGCCTGTCTTGTGATGGCAGCGGCACAAGGACAGGCATTATTTTGTTGGAACATACCATTTTGGGTGGTGTTCATGAAAGATATGACTACTGGATGGATCAACCTGTTAACATACTGGCAGGCGATCATTATGATTTCAACAACCACCAACTCGGTCCTGCTGTCATAACTGATTGCCCCACAAACCATGACACCAGAAGTTGGACCGAAATTGATTTATATGTTAAATAGGTAAATGTCTCTTCAATCTCATGATTGAAGGGACAAACATAATTAAAGTTGTCCCGTTTGGAGGATGTCGTAGCTCCGATGGATGATGCTTTGTCAGAGAAAACATTAATTGCAAAGTTCTTGGGAAAATTGAGGTAATGCCACGGCTGCTGTTTGCAAATATCGCCCTTGTAAAATACTTGTGCCACAGACCGACATCTCTGTGGTTGAGAAAATGATAATGCAATTTTGGATGACCAGATAAATCAATTGTTGAATTTTCTAATGGTAGCTGTATTATTTGTTAAATAGGTAAATGTCTCAGACTGCCAGACTAACATTATTAGGTATTAAAAACGTAAAAACACGTAAACAGATAGTAAAAATACCTTCTTTACTTGCCATGTCCAATCACCAGGAACAAACTATTCTCCACAGCAGAGATGACCGTTCTTTAGAAGCTATGCCTCTGCCAAATTATGTAAAACAGTGGAGAATAGTTTGTTCCTGGTGATTGGACATGGTGAGTAAAGAAGGTATTTTTATTATCTGTTTACGTGTTTTTACGTTTTTAATACTGTATTTCTGCCAGTCCTATTTTACAAAAAAATAGCATTATTAGCTATTTGAAAAGTACATCATATCCGGCAGCTCTCCAGGGAAATCTGTCATAACTTGCAAAATGCTTGGGAAGCCTCTCTAAAATCATACGCTCCGGCGACGAAATGTATCGATTGACGGCACTTGTGGCATCGACTCCTCATCGTGTGAGTATTAGCTTGGTCGGTTAAGAAATTTTTTGGGCTTTTCTTCTTATGACGACGACAGACCTATAGATTGATATCTTATTTTTCTTTTCAAACATTGGATTATCATTTAAGATAATTGTAGTTGCTATATTTCACCCTTCCCATCAAAAGCAGATTAAATATACCATTCCTAGCACCATCATTTGAGAATAAGGCTGCGTATACACTAGGCGTTTTTTAAAGAACCAAGAGTTCTACTAAAGTGCCCAAAAAATGCGCATTTTAAGAAAAATCTATAAACGCGCGTTTGAGTGTGTACGCCTATATAGAACTCTTGGTTCTTTAAAACACGCGTTTAAAAATGCACCCTAAATGAAATCTATTAAATATGCAATTTTTATAATAACTCAGGATGTATTTTCTTCATAATTTAAGTTTAGACTATTTACAAAAAATCAGATTGACTCGAAAAGTCAATCATTTAATCCCTTATACACCACCACAGAAGTAACAGTTCTAAATTGCTTTGAAGAAAAACTTCACAATGTTAAAAGAGATCAAGTGTCAGCCTTTTCTTGTAGGTTCTGACAATTTTACAATTAAAAACACAAAGAATTCTTCTCACCATATGATTTTTATCCACTTTTGGCCCTCTAGTGGTAGTTACGTGTATCTACAATTTTTGTAATAACTCAGGATGTAACTATATGCAAATAATGTAGATACTCGTAACTACCATTAGAGGGCCAGAAGCAGTTTTAAAAGTGGATAAAAATCATATGGTGAGAAGAATTCTTTGTGTTTTTACCAATTTTTTACCTGTGTTTAAGAAGTTTTTCTTCAAAGCAATTTAGAACTGTTACTTCTGTGGTGGTGTATAAGGGATTAAATGATTGACTTTTCGAGTCAATCTGATTTTTTGTAAATAGTCAAATTAAATGTGAACTATTAAACTTGAACTATTAAAAATACAAAGGCAATTGTGGTTTTGGGTACTTAATACTTTTACATCAATCTTTTTAGTACTCAAAAGCACTTGGACTATTTCCTGCTCCATTATAATTTTATGGTAAGATATCACTCAATTTGAAACAACTTTTAGTGATTTACTATTGTTTATAATATAAAGCAAGCTTTTTATATTTCCAATTAGTACCATCGAGAAATATGGAGAGTCACGAAATTAATATTTTTTCGTTTTTTTACAGTGCAAGCAGTAATGGAAAAGTATATGCTTAATCTACTTCTGAAAGCTCAACCATAAAGAAAAAAGAATGTACATAATTATTAATAAATGACTATTTTATTACAAAAATGATGAGAATTTTTCGATGAAGTTGTGATTTCCTGCACAAATCATATTCTTCTCTTCTGAGTACTGATATAAAGTACTGAAAGAAACAAAAAAACAAACAATCCGTTAGATTCTTGCAATACACATAATATGTGACGAGAGAAAATTATTGAGTCGAGTTAACTTTTGCTTACTTTTTCCTCAACTCTAGTATTGATGGGCATAACAAACTATGATTTTATGCAAATTTGCTGCACGAGGAAAGGGTCCGGAGATGCCGGGGTTTTTGTTCTTTATAAGAGAATGCCATGCATCCGAACATTTGACAAAACGTCGGTCTATTCTGAGCTCTTAATTTGATAGACGCCCGCAGTGTTTTTGTCGGTCTGCCGATTGTCATTTATGAATCTGCGACCGTGCAGGTAAGTCTAGCACGTAAAACGGATGACAAAATAAGTTTCCGTACGGTCGGACTTCGTCCACCCCTTTGTAATGGAATGAAAAAAGTGGAGGCAGTTTGTCAGGACTTTCCCATCTAGTAAAAATATCAAACAAGAGGTCAATGGGAGCAGATTCTGCATTTCCAGAAGTGATGGTAGAAAATACATTTGCATATCGGCTAACCGCCTTTGGGGATGACTTCTCTACACGTAGCACAGGTCTGTCCATCCGGATAAAGGCAAAACGGATCGCTTTAGTTAGTTAAATTACCGGAATAACCGGTCCTAAACCAATGCTTCCTATCTATATATATAAAAATGAATGTATGTGTGTGTGTCCTTCATGCATTACCACACCGTTTATCCGATTGCCGTGAAACTTTGAGAAGTTGTTTAATATACTCCCGCGAAGGTTTGTGGCATAGTACGATTGCCATGAAGCTTTGGGAAGTTTTTTAATACACTCCCACGAAGGTTTGTGGCATTTACACCCTACGATAGATGGCGCACGTTTACACGAGCATTCGAGCACAGTGTGTTCGATCGATTTCAAATTGTGAAGACCATTTCCCCCTCCAAAAAATATCTCTATATATGCATTTATTATTTACAATATTTGTAATAATTTTTGTTTAATCACTTTATTTCAACTTTTTTTTTGCTAGTTACGTAATCGCTCGAACTTTGTTAAAGCCTTAAATTAACTGTATCATGAATAACAACCAAAGTTGTAGAAGGAAATTCACCTATTTTACCAATCTAGGGATCCCCTTTTCCAAATTTTAATATCGACTGAAAATAATTTAAAAAGACAAATTACAATAAAACGGTTTATTATCCAACTATGAGAAATTTCACAATACGCCAAAGAAGAGAGGAAGGAGCAATTAAATAATCAAAATTATGAAGGATTAAAAAAAATATATAAAAATGGGGAATATCGCACTTCTAATAATCTCTGCGAGTATGTGGGCTAAGTTTAAAGAATCCGTGCTTCTCGCTTGGACAACTATGTGGCCAACTCACGCGTCGGAAAACCTTTTGATTTATTCGTGTATGCACCAGACGGAAAAACAAAAAATATCGTGTATCCACAAAGCACTCCAATAAATAAATAAAATTGAAATGACACTTTGAAATGTTTTCNGTCTCAGTTTTTGTTGGTTGCCTCTGATTTCATTGGCTTGCCCATATGACCTTGCTGCTAATTTTGAGAAAACAAAGGGCAACCCACACATTTTCCTGCTCAGTGTGGCGTTGTTTCTCGTTGTGTGAGCATTAGCCCCTGCATCTAGCAAAACAACTCCTCTAAGACAGAAGAATGGCCAAGCGGTCAAGGTGGCAGCCAACCGCTCTGGGGGACCCAGGATCAAATCCGAATGGGTCAAAAAATTCCTAAGAATTTTTCGGGTGGTGGTCCGTACAGATATATCGGGCCCCGTCCCTCACCACCCAGCCGCCCCATTGTGGGCTTGCTAAAAGAGGTCCTGTTAGTGCCCACAGGGCAGAGTTTAAAAAAAGCCAAACAATTCCATTGCTTTCCTTTCTCCTTTTAGTTCTATCATGGGATCAAAGAAAGTTTCCAGAGCCAGAAGCCCTTCAAATGCCATGTTAAATGTTCATTTACATTAGTGTTTTATATTAAATTCTTATTATGATTAAAAGAGCAATGCAAAATGCTGGATATTCTCTCTCTAAATTTCATTATCTTCAGAATCAAGTCAAAAATAAGCTATTTCCACAATTATTTCTTAGTAACAAAGAGGATCTTATTGTAAAATCACTTACATGTTTTGGCGTTACCACAGTGAATTATTAAAATATAAATATAAAAAGTTCACGAGTACTTTCAGTAATGTATAGTTACCATCTTCAGGTGAAATGAATATTACAGTTTTTTTGTATCAGAGTTGTAGCACTTCTTGAAAAAGCAGTGCGGCTAAATGGAACTCCAGTGTAAATCAAAATTATCTTGCAGTTTGAAAATGTTTCGAAATGGAACAGAAAATTATAAAATTTTGCAAACTATGGTTGCTATGCGACCATGTAGCTCTAGCAATCTAATTTGTAACGTTTAAATAAAGTAGTCCATGTTTTAGAGATTTCCAGAATTGTGGTATTACATGATGAAAGCGTTGAAATATATAGGTTTTCTCAAATAAACAGTTCTTTATGATATTGCATCTTTTCAATAGTTTTGTTTGGTCCCAAATTGGCCGGTAGTCTTGATCAAGGACTTTTCTGGCTAATTCCGTTGATGGCCGGCTATTATGGATGTCATTCTGATGTTCTGAGATGCGTGATGTTAGTGTTCTAGCAGTCGCTCCTATATAATAAGCATCTTCTCCTGATCCATTATGTTGTAATGGAATAAGATAAACTCCCGATTTCTCTTTCCTATCGATGGGGTCTCTGTCATTAGTTAGCAATCTTCTTAATGTAGGAGTTTAGATAGTGTTGGTTGAAAGGCCATAGCAGGAATAATCCTGCTATGGCCTTTCAACCAACACACTATCTAAACTCAGCCATCACTTCCCTTATGAGAAGAGCATTCCTTCTTCCTTCTAGCACAGTATTTGTAGAACAGGAAATGCAACTTATCAAAAAAGCAATGATAAAAGCGGGCTATTCCCAAGCAAAGTTTTATTATATTCGCAACTGAGTTAAAAATAAATTATATCCTCAATCATTCCTTACAAGCAAAGAGGACCTAAGGATAGCACACCCCCATTACCATTTCTGGGTCCTGCATCACTCAAAATTGTACACTTGTTTAGAAAAAATGGCTATATGCTACCGCTATCCATGCAGCCTACATTAAGAAGATTGCTAACTAATGACAGAGACCCCATCGATAGGAAAGAGAAATCGGGAGTTTATCTTATTCCATTACAACATAATGGATCAGGAGAAGATACTTATTATATAGGAGCGACTGCTAGAACACTAACATCACGCATCTCAGAACATCAGAATGACATCCATAATAGCCGGCCATCAACGGAATTAGCCAGAAAAGTCCTTGATCAAGACTACCGGCCGATTTGGGACCAAACAAAACTATTGAAAAAATGCAATAATCATTTGGGAAAACCTATATATTTCAACACTTTCACCATGTAATACCACAACTCTGGAAATTTCTAAAACATGGATTACTTTATTTAAACGTTACAAATTAGATTGCTAGAGCTACATGGTCACATAGCAACCATAGTTTGCAAAATTTTATAATTTTCCGTTCCATTTTGAAACATTTTCAAACTGCAAGAAAATTTCAATTTACATCGGAGTTCCATTTAGCTGCACTGCTTTTTCAAGAAGTGCTACAACTCATACAAAAAACTGTAGTATTCATTTCACCTGAAGATGGTAACTATATGTTGCTGAAAGTACTCGTGAACTTTTTATATTTATATTTTAATAATTCACCGTGGTAATGCCACAACATGCGATTTTACAATAATTATAAAGTCGGTGTGAAGTGATAACTTATTTTAAACAGAATCTTAAAATAGCACATCCTCCAATACCGTATTTAGGCACTATATCTCTGAAAATACTACATCTTTTTAAAAAGATTGGTTTTGTTTTACCAATAACCCCACAACCGACCCTAAGAAGATTATTATGCAACGACAGAAATATACAGTAATACCCTGAACTTACGCAATAGGTGGAAATGAGCGATAACCGTGTAAGTCGAATTCGTGTAAGTCAGGGTATAATTTCGCAATTGGTGTAAAATCCAAGTCAGATGTATGTAAGTTAATAAATGTTCTCGTTAATCTTATCTCTTCTTTTGATTCGTTCACGGTTACAAATCACCACACAGAGTCTCTCAAGTCTCTATAGATGTAACAAACACAGAAATAAATAACACAAAATAAATTGTAGCTATGCGTCGATTCCACGTGACACGTCCCAAACATGTAAGCTGAACAATAGTGTGGGGGGGGAGTGAGTAATCAAGAGTTGCGTGGCACTCAAACAAAAGACGAATCAATGAGATTTGAAAATCGCATAACTCCGGATTCGTGTAAGTCGGGGTAGCGTAAGTTGAGGTATTACTGTATTTCAATTGAATGAAAAATCTGGGGTTTATCAAATTCCACTAAAACATGCTCTGTCAGGAGAAGAAACTAGCTATCAGGTCAGTCCATAAGTCCATGCGTATTTTTATCTACAAAAAAAAGCAACAAAAAATTTTAATTAAATTTTATTTCAATCTATAATATATTCACCATTATTTTGTACAATTTCTTGCCATCTTGATGGTAGCTTTTTAAGCCCGTCTTTGTAAAATGATTTCGGTTTTGAATCAAAATATTCAGAAATAGCCTTTTTTACATTGTTCTCATCCTCAAAAGTTTTCCCTTTTAAAAAATTCTGCAAACTCCGAAAAAGATGATAATCACTGGGAGCAATATCTGGCAAATATGGTGGATGAGGTAAAATTTCCCAGTTGAAGCTTTTGAGTTGAGCAGTTGACGTTGTTGTCAGTTAGCTATTGACAGTTCATGTGGTATCCA